AAATCTACAACCTACGGTGAAATCAGAAGTCAATCTCCAAGAATCACGGGATAGCATCCCGTAAAAAGACAGATTTTTCATACAAATATGCATACTGCAACCACAAATCTGGTAAAAAGACAGATTTTTCATACAAATATGCATACTGCAACGCTCAAGAGAGTGATTTAAACCACCTACCTCAAGGAATGTATAAAAACCGGTCATACGGAATAAGAACCTTTGTACAGAAAAAAGAAGAATGGAAGTGAAAACTACCTACAATACTAAACTAGTACAGAAAGAACAAGAACAGGAAACAAGGCAAAGACACAAAAGATTTATCTCAGCCACGAATACGATATGTACAATTTATTACATTAGTTACAAAGATTGTCCGAGCATCAACATCGTCCACAGGGCAGAAGTTTGTCGAAATTCCAGCAAACAGTAGAGCATCTTAGACCAACACATGGTGCAAAAGATATCAGTGTTTTTCAGAATCAAGTTTCAACAAAACCTACGGCTAAAACTATTTCCAACTCACCTGGAGCAGATATCAGTGTCTTTGGACCTTTTTGCTAGGTATCCGTAAGCATGTCGCTGGTTCAAGTCAAACCCTTAATGTGTTCCTGCACAAGTGTAATTAAGATTTACTGTTTACTAGGAAAAAAGATAATAAAATCCACCTTGGCGATTTCTAAAATGGCAGTGATGTGTCTTATCTCAATGGAACCAGAGAAGTGAGAAATAGTGATAGAATACGATAGGAACATCTTACCAGGGCCCCAAGAAATCGTCATGTTTTCTGTCCTGATATTCTCTGTCCAATATATAACTCCACCTGAAGTGGAGCAGTCCAAAGAAAACAACCAATCAAGAAACAAACAGAGAAAGTACAAGCGACGCAATCGCAAATTGGCAAGAAAAAGACACCACGATTCAAAATAACAGTGATAAAATATTGATATCTGAATTCGGCTCTTTAGTTGGTAAAATTCCTAAAGTAATAATGCCCAACGTCGAGCAAATGGTTGTTAGAGATGCGAAAGGTAGAGTACTGATGGGTAAGAGTCTGTTTTGAGGGTTGTATCTGACATTTGGGTTTTTTTCTAAGCTCTCAAGACTTGCATGGTTTTTTTTTGTCATTGATATAGATAATAGTTCGTTCCCATAAACATTTTGAATATTGTTTGTTTTTCTTTTCCTTTCTTCATATTAGGATTAATCCCTAAGCAGGTTCATTGGATAGCATTGTAATCAACATTTTCCAATTTAAAGATGGAACTGACTGTTGTAAGGATGCTCAAGAATCTGTCGTGAACGGTTCCCCTGTTTCTGAAGAGTTTAAGTTATAGGTATACCATCAGCCTTTAAGTATATTTTCCTCCAATGACGCGTGTCTATTTATCGTAGCACTTAACGAACTTTTTACCAGATTTGTGTCTGCTTCAGGTGATCAAAGAAGAAGCTAGCTGAAGAGAAAAAAATTGTTGTGTTTTTTTTCTAGGCCACAGTTGAGAAACCGAATTCAGATATCAATATTTTATCACTGTTATTTTGAATCGTGGTGTCTTTTTCTTGCCAATTTGCGATTGCGTCGCTTGTACTTTCTCTGTTTGTTTCTTGATTGGTTGTTTTCTTTGGACTGCTCCACTTCAGGTGGAGTTATATATTGGACAGAGAATAGCAGGACAGAAAACATGACGATTTCTTGGGGC